GCCATCATGTCAATATGGACCAAAATCTCTGAGGAATGCTTCCAGCACCTTGTTGAATCTATGCCACGAAGAATTGAGGCAGTTCTGAAGGCAAAAGGGGTCCAACCCGTTACTAGCGTGGTGTACCTAATAAAGTGGCCGGTGAGTGTATATATACACATATCACAGAATGACAATATTTAAGGATTCAGCATGAATCTCAGTTGGTAAGGAGCGCCGGCTGAAGCCTAAGCAGGAGATTTGCTGCACTAAAAATTATCTTTTTCATCAGTGGCTTATTGCACAGAACTGCATGGACAAGCGTTTACTGTGGGAAACCAAAGCTGCATTTACAAACACCATTTTACCATGCACAAAATAGCTATAAATTATTCTTAGTCACAGAGACCTGCAGTTTGTCCAAGCTCAGTGGCATTTGAATTGAGATTATGAAAAATATATTTTCTTCCTCTGTCTTCGAGAGGTGCAGAAGAACATGAATCAGAAGCACTAGTAGTTCATTTGAAGGTAAAACAGGGTTGTGTGTTTTTAATCAACAAGGCAATGAGATCTGTGGCCTTCTGCTTTTATTTATACAAGGAAAATCAAAAAAAATCTTCACATCATATTTATGGAAGTAGTTTAAGGCAAAAACAACTTGTTTGGTAATGCTTATAAGGCTGAGTATGCCTGCAACTCTTCAGTCTGAAGACAAAATGTTTCAACAAAGAAAAACTTGTGAAACATTCCAGAATTTTCAGGACCTTGGACAGTTCCTTCAACCATTCATGCTGCCTAAAGTCCTGAAACATTCCAGCACTTTCAGAGCCTTGGACAGTTCCTTCAGTCCTTCACACTGTCTAAAGCAGTGGCTCCCAAACTTTTAAGCTTTTGACACACAAAATACCAGCAGCATAGACCTGAGACCCCAGCTGTTGTTGGTTAATAAACACTGTTTTCATGTCAGATAAACAAGGACATAGTAACAATATTCATTAAGCTATTTTTGTCCAATGTAAATACACTATCCTTGCTCTTTTGTAACAATAAAAGCATTAAAAGTTTGTTAGTTCTCATTTTTTAGCTATTAATTCAGAAAGTCTTTTCAGGACCCCACCTTTATGTTTCAGGACCCCACTTTGGGACCCGACCCCAACTTTGGGAACCACTGGTCTAAAGTCCTGAAACATTTCAACACTTTCAGGACCGTGAACAGTTCCTTAAGCCCTTCACACTGCCCAGGGTCCTGAAACATTCCAGCACTTCCAGGACCCTGGACAGTTCTTTCAATCTTTCACATTGTCTAAAGTCATGAAATATTCCAACCTTTTCAGGACCTTGGACAGTTCCTTCAGTCCTTCACACTGTACAGGGTCTTAAAACATTCCCGTACTATCAGGACCTTGGAGAGTTCCTTCAGTCTTTCACACTGTCTAAAGTCCTGAAACATTCCTGCACTTTCAGGACCTTGTAATGTTACTTCAGCCCTTCACACTGTCTGAAGCAGTGATTCCCAATTTGGGGTACATGAGCAAAGTACAGGGGGTATGTGGAAAAATTTCCCAGGTGTGTAAAAAAATAAATAAAAATAGGACTTGGAAATGTAGGGCCCTTTGATTTCCACAATGTGGAAATTGCAGCTGGAATCACAGAATTAACACAAAATGGAATCCAGTATAAAATGTGGAATTTCACAAAATTTGCTCATTTGGGTGAGTTTCTGACATATTTTGGATGCTGCTTTTTTCTGCACCTGCCAATACCTGGTTTATTTATTTAATTACTTATTCATTTTCAAGGCAATGTTTTTAGACATTTGAGTTGAAAAATAAAAATGCCTGAGAGTGTCCTGATGCATCTCAGTAATCCAGGTGAAAAATCTAAAAGAAAAAAATTGTACAGGTCTTCTGGACGGGTTCTTCTCTAATGAAACGTTTCGTCTCTCCTCCAAGAGACTTCTTCAGAATGCCTGAGAATTAAACATTCTAGGGGTTTAAATAAATAATTTTCATTTTTATAATCATTTGTAGTACATTATAGTTTTGGAAAATTATCATTAAGTTTGACTGAAGGGGTACTAGTGGAATGACGAAATGGCTCAGGGGGTACACAAGTCTAAAGAGGTTGGGAACCACTGGTCTAGAGGGCCTGACTCAACCTTGTTATACATTTCTGCAGTTTGCAACAGTAGAACACATAGATTATCAGGTGGCTGTGGCAGAGTGGTTAGGGGAGTCGTCCTAGAACTGGAAGGTCACAGTTCGATCCCCCGTCCAGCTGTCTCAGTTCTTGTGTCCTTGGGCAAGATACTTAACCCCAATGCCTCTGATGTGTTTCCTATCAGTGTATAAATGTGATTGGCACTGATTAGTCTCCATTGATGATTGTATATGTTAGCTTTGTAAGAGATCTGGTAGAGTGCTGTGTGAATGGGTAAATGAGGACACAGATTGTAGTGCTTTGAGTATCCTGGTTGGGTAGAAAGGCACTATACAAGTACAGTCCATTTACAATTTAAAGTCATAGTTACTCTCCCTCTGAGATGTCCAAGGATGAAGCCAATAACAAAAACGTTTTGTGAGCAGAATAGCACCTAAAAGCCCTAAACATCACTTTTATTTTAACCAGTCAATTATTTAAGAGTTTACTCTAAGCGGGATCACTGATAGAAATTGTATTCTAGTATAAAAGACTTACTGTCATGGTTTGTGTCAGTTTTGTACAGGAGCAACTTTGAACACAAATGTTTGTGTTCAGCTTACTTGATTTTGTTGTACTTTTCTACTCTGAGGCAAAATCCAATGTTTCAGATGAGATATAAATGTAATAATGAAAAAAACTCTGAGGGATACACAAACTTTAACCTGTGTTGGTGGATAGGTGTGTAAGTGAAGAAGTCAAAGAGGCAGAAGAGAGTGATTAATATTGCAGAAAGATTTTTGCCCCCACAGGTGGCCGACGATAAAAATATCCCCACCCTCGAGGAGAGACGGAGAGATCGAAAGGTAAAACAGGAGTGATAACTCTGTGTGTATGTGTGCGGGGGAAAAAAGAGGCAGGAGGCTGTGGCTAGAAAATAGAAACTGATGAATGGGAAGAGACAGGGCAAAAAATGAGGAAAAATAGGATTCTTGAAAGTGAGAGTTCAAGTCAGGTAGTGAAAACTAATGCGTCTGCTGCTCTGCTCACCTCCAGCTCTCATCAGGCCTCATTAATACTCAGAATTAATTTTTCTGAGGCACAGCCATGCACACACACATACACACGTGTATGAATATGCAATGATACATTTAAAAAGATGTAAGATGCTTTTTTAAAGTCTCTTTCAGAACACACATATGAAAGCCCAGGAGCTCCCGTCAGCATTTAAAAAGCTTAATTATGCTCATGTTTTTTGGTTCAGCATATTTATTTCTTTGTTGTTTATTTACTGTTTGTTTCAAAGTGTCCTTGAGAAAGCAAAGTCTTGTGTAAGGGTTAGATAGCTTTAATTTTTAGTTAATAATAAGGACTACCTTTAACCACTTCATTACACTTCCTGATTTGCCTGTCAAGCAAACAGCAAAAAAGAAAAATGAGTGCTCAAAACTCTTTAAATAATGCTCAGCTCTTGCCGCTTCCATATCCGCCATGCTTTTCCCCCCTCCAAGTCTTTCAGCTTTATAGATTTGTAGAGTAATAATGCCAGTGGAGTGCATGTTTTTGTTACTAAGTTACAGAGTGTACAGAGCACATAAAGCATACAAATGAGTTTTTTTTTGTTTGCATCAATGTTTTGTTTCAAAGGGCACATCCAAAAACTTGTGCAAATTTATGTCTACCATTGTGTGTGTGTGTGTGTAGGGGGGGGTATGCTCTCTAATTGTTAATTTATTCATTGAATCATGCACTTTTGTATAACAATTCAGGATCTTTAATGTTTTTACTGTGATTTACTTTCCTGTTTTCTTCGTACTTACTTTGCAACGTTTCTGTTCCACACCAGTCCAACAACTGAGAAAAAACTTACTTTTCCTCCAGTTTTTAAAAACAGTAACAATTATTTTACATTTCTAGGATGCATTATACTACATACCTAAATTTCTCAATTTTCCAGGAGTTTGTACCTGTATTTACCTGGTGCACAGACCAGGAAACATTACAACACATGACACAAAAGCAGACTAAAACCCTGCATGTCATCTGAAGCCAGTTGTATTGGGCACCTGTATGATTGAATGTGCATATATCCATACTCATACAAGTGTTCTAATACCAAAGAACCAGATACCGATTCCAATTTTCTCACTCTCAGTCCAGAAATATGTATATCAGGTTGCCTTCAGGCCCAGGTCTCCCTTGCAAAAGAGATCTGTGATTTCAATTGGTTTTGCCTGGTTAAATGCGGATTAATATAGGCCACAAGATAGTAATGTGTGGACACAAGATTTATTTTTTACTTTTATCAAACGTCACCAAACAGGCACTATAGAAGTGTCAGTATTTTTTCCCCCTCCTAAAACATTTGTTTGCTTGTGGACGAGAAGTATAAACTCAGCATTGGGATAAACAAGCACAATTTATACGCAAAGAATTATGCAACATATTATGTTAAGTAACAATCTGAAATGCCTGGAAACTGAGCATGCACTGGCCCGACTCAAATGTGTAGAGGGTACCTGGTCCCACGGACTGAGTCTGCCTCCCGAGAACATGAACAGGTAGCCCATGGTGACCAGACAGGCCCATATTAGCAGAGAGAAGAGGCGCAGCATCCGCTTGAAGACAGATTCGATGCAGACAAGGATGAAGATTGACAGGAAGAGGAAGAGCGCTGTGGGCACCGCAATCAGGAACGTCAAGTGATCCTCTGTGTTCTGAAGACAGAAAAAAAAACAACTAAATCATTACTGGTTTACACACTTTTTATATGTTGTAAATAGAAAGAACTTTTTTGCATGCAGTAAGAAAAGATTATATTGAGTTAGCATAAACAAAAACTGAAAATGATGTGAATACTTGTTTCACTATGAACTGTGAACCTCTAAACTCTCTCTCTCATGTTCCATTGAGGACATTTTGCCTTTGAAAGGATGAAATGACTACAGTCCACACACAAACAATGAACAGACGGTGTACAGATCGCCAAGCAGACAGAGCCTGAAGAATGTGCTACTGCATCACTTCCACACTCACACTGTTGGAGTCAGCGTTTAGAAGCCACACACAAACACACACACACACACACACACACACACACACACACACACACACACACACACAC